CACGTAGATGAGTATTATAGGATCCCTTATCTTTGGTGAATAAAAAAAGAAGAGAATCTTATACACTTCAATAGCTTCGCTCACAAGTCATCGGAACATTGAACAACACTAAATAAAACATGTGGTCAGTGCCAAAATTAACGTTAATACTGATTATATTTATAGATAAGTCTTATCGTAATACAACGATTAAGATCACTTCCATAAAAATTTAGCAAAAAAAAAAAGGATCAATTTCATAAATCCCTTCAGTCTAATTACAAATTTAACGATCAATCATTTAGTTACATATAACGGATATTTATCACAAAACATTTTTTTCATAGTTAGGGCTTCCTCTGGTACACTGATTAATTTAGCTCCCCTCCGACTTCTTATATTTTTTTCTTTGCCATAAGAAATTTGTTGCTTAAAAAGTAATTGTAATGAATCTTTTCCTTTTGGCAATATAATTCACATTTTATCCCCAAATAATGTATAAAAACCAAAATATTGTGGTTAGTTAAATCTGTTAGATACGTAAATATTCTTAAAACGGATCATTCATACGTACGTATGTAGTTACGTCTCGGCAGAGAGACGGCAAGAGCAGAATCAAACATGAGTGTGTATAGAGTGAGATAGACAAAGAATATTTGTCTTTAGGCAAGTTGGTGGTAGGGGCGCACAATTAATAAAAGAATAATAACTACATATCACATATATTATTGTGGTTTTTTTATAAAGAAATTACATATATACTTGATAGATATATCAACGTCGAAAGCTCGTGTTTTGGTTATACGTTCTTCTTTTTAGCGAATAAGGATTCGATCAGCGAGCTATAAACAAGGTCTAGCTCGAGAGAAGATCCGGCTATATATGAAACAGAAAAAATTGACAATCTTGGCGGCATCAAAACCATGTCTATTACTTGTCGGTATATCTAATCAAATGATAAAAGACTCGGAGTGATTAACACGAGAAAATAATATAAAAGTTGTATTCATCAAATTAAAGAGGAGAGTGTGAAATATCCGTCTGTCAGATTGATGATTCTTAGAAGGGCATTGATGCAATAAGTGGTTCGAGGTGGATTTTGCAACTTCAAGATGATACAATTGATTTATTGAACGCACAAGGGAATCTTCATGTTATTTTGGGTTTTCATCTATATGCATACTGTAGTTTATGCAATGCGTTGTTTCTACAAAAATACATGATCTAGTTTCTGTCCATTTTGTAAAACAATCGTTGGATCCGGTCAGTATGGTCTCGCAAATTATGATATTTTTTGTTTCCGCTTACAAGATTAGAAATTCATTCATATTTTCTTACACTACAAGAAAACAGGCGGAATTCCGACG